AAGTACACCCTGGTTTTAAGCAGCAATATTGGACACAGGGAACTTCAGGATATTTAAATCAAGTTTCTGTCTATCTCTAGTCAAGTTACAAAATACATCCCAGGAGAGAAGTGTTAGGAAGAAGATACAACATGAAGTTTTATTGTGCACTTGATTGTCTTACAAATTTAAGTGATACTGCGAAATTACTTTTTACATTGACTCTTAAATACAATAAACAAAATCATTTTTACCTTTTTATATTAGAGTATTTGAATTGTAAACACTTTTTCTGCAATATTAACACTGTAATCATATCTCAAGCATATAGGTGTTTCCAAAATTAAAACTACAGTAAAATGGAGAATAAAGTTCTCAAAAATCACTCCTTACTTCAACTTGTCTATGCAATGCTGCAACTAAAAAACTTAAGGGGTTATGTGGAATAGCAGGCTGAGTGATATTATCATGTAAAAAACTACTTGGTGCTGTACTCTTGGAAAGGCTCTACATGCACAAGGCAAAGGGGGTCTTCTAGTGAATCTCACCACAAATACACATCGTAAGATCAAGCAACGTTTTCATAAATGATTTGGATGTCCATAAGTGTTAGCATGACCCGAGAGATACTATGTTTGAGCTTGAATTTAAAATAAACCTGTTACGTTTTTGCATTCTATTTCATTGACCAAATGATATGAATTCCTCTTCACAAAGCTGCTGTATTTTCCACACAAAAGACGTGGGTTATTCCTATGCTCCCCTCCTCCTCAGCAACCGCGTGGTAGAAGTTAAGTGATAGCGAAGGGCTACCCATCTGCAGTAGGCTCACTGCCTCCAATCCCTCCTACATCACTCCCTCTACCCCAGCAACCAGGTTTGAGTCCCCTTTTTTTAGCAAGCTGAGTGAGTGCACAGGGTACCTGGAGCCATATTCAAGCAGCAGAGCTCTCAATAAGGATGCAGGGTACCACAGACACAAGTTGCAAGCATAAACACCACACCTAAACTACAAAGCTTACTCTAGGATGCCAGGAGTACAGTAATGGTTTGGGGTCTTTTTGTACAAGGAGGCAAGGGGGGCTCCATATGCGACATAAAAGTAGGTTTTAAGTCCTCCCCCAAACAGCTCAGTGTCTTTGTCCTCAAAAACTGGCAGCAGCAGCTCCTCCCCAAAGGAACACTAGCAAGCCTTGTAGCCCAGCAGGCATCTGCTTCCTGGACAACACCACATACTGAATAGCACAGATGCAAGAAAGACTGGGGAATTTTTTGATTGCCTAGGACCTTGAAGGCTAAAGAAAGCCTTGTCTGTAAGCACAGACAGGCCTGGTCTATTTTGGTGCCTAGCAGAAGAATTCTTTTTTCTTAGATCCCATTTTTCAGATCAAGGAGGACACATTCAGTAACTTTCATTCTGTAAGTCAAGCTGATCCAGTCAAACACATCACTTCTTACAATGGGAGGATAAGGAGGCATCCCAGAGAGTTTAGTAACTAAAGAAAACTACTTTTTCCATGTAATAGGGTCAAGGATACCAAACTACATACAGCCTTCATGCAACCTAACATTTGATGTTCACTTACGTGTACACCAAGAGGCACAACTAGGGGGGAGCCATGGTAAAGCCTTTCCGCAGGGCAACACTGCTATGAATGCAGTCCCTGCTCCTCGTCTCTAAGACTCCCTTTCACAAGGTCTCTCTCTAAACCCACATGCTCCATTTCTGTCTCAAGATGGCGGGGGGGACACACACACGACAGGACGGGGACAGGACGGGACAGAATTATCCCAAGGGACTGGAAAGGACAGTTTATACACTATTGCCCCCTACCCAGCAAGATCTCAGGGAGTAGTCTCCCTCTCCTCTTCCCCTTACATAACACTGCAAAACCCAGGCACCCGCAATTATACACAAGTATACAGGCACGGACTCACTCATTTCATCCCTCAAAGTAAAGCACTGTCACACCCACAGAAAAACATCTGTCGCACACTACAGACAGACACATCCTGCAACAGCTTCCCACTTTCGAGATGCTAGGCTGGTACAAACAGAAGTACTGCAAGCAAATCTCCACATTTTTGTTTCAAACAGCAAAGAAACATTGGGCTCAGTCCTGAAAATGTGCAAGAAATTCTTTAGTGCTATCGAAGGCACGAGTTCAAAGACACAAAAAAAACCCCTCTCTCCAGCTTCATTAATTATAAAGCTTTCAGGGACAGGTGATTATTCCAATGGATGTTTGACACTGCAAAGGCAGAGAAGAATGCCTGAGAAACCCTGCAGCCTCAGATAAAAGCACCTCAGAAGCCTGTACTTGCTGTGACATCTCCCTCCAGGACAAACAAGCTTTTTTCTTTTCCCTCTCATAAAAAATGCATATTCTTCAGTGCAGCAAAGACTCTAACACCAGGAGAACATCTCTGGAACAGACTTCTTGGTTATCTCTGGACCACCAGCTCTCCCATTTCAGTCAAAGTTCTCCCTTGGCAGGCCTTAGGACTGAAGTTTTTGTAATCCTGACACCACCAAGAGGTGCAATTACTTAGCACTACGAATTCAGATCACTCAGTTTTGCAAACATCTTGTTTCTCAATGAAGGTAAATTAGTATGTGTGGAGCAAGTTTTTATCTCTGGCAAGCATATCTCTGCACTTCCATCTACTCACAAGGTAGCTTCCTCACCTGTGGAATAAACACTGTTAGTATACAGACGCACTGCTATTTCCATGCTGGCCTATGGAGAAAGGCACATGCTTAAAAGCGAGCAAGGCAGCAACAGCAGGAAACTGTCCAACTCATCATCATGCTGCCTTGCTCAACCTCTGTCCTCCTCTCCTGTTGTCCGTGCACAGCAGCTCCAGAAACAGCAGGCACATGAGAGTGTGTGGCACTATGTATCTGCAAAGAGAGAAGGCGGGAAAGACAGAGCATGAACACCAGTGCGGAGAGGTAATTCAGCAGTTTCCCTGTTGCAGATTTTACTCTTTAGATCACTTTAGATCAAATGTTTAAGACTACTCCCTGAATGAAGCTGCTTAGTACATACATCAGAAATTGATAAATACTGTAGGATTAGAGTTGCTAAGTAAACAAATGGATCACATTCAGTTTCGCTCTTCACTTCTGCCAACATGAACTGCCAAGTATCTCTAAAGGAAAGGGATATGGAAGCAAAAATCACTAATGAGTCAAAACGTCTTTTAAACTTCTGAAACCACTTAGTGCATGATTCAACACTCAGTAACTTACTTAACAAATCTTCAGGAGATATAACATGGTTTGTAAGGTATTATTTAAAAAATGGTATTGCTGTCACCACTGAAAGACAGGCGGAATCCCCAAGAGTTCCGGCATACCACACACTCAGTAGATGTATAGGTTCATCTAGGAAGAGGAAAAAACAGTTTGTTCTGTTTTGCCGTTCAGTTTTTGTCAAAATGCCCCATGACCAACAAGTCCTTACTTGAGATAGGCGGATACTGGATAGTTACGGTGGATGTTCCAGAAATGCTTACCTGTGGACAGCTCTGAAGAGGAACCGAGGCCAGTGCTGACTACGCGCAAAATGCACAACCAGTTTATTCCCAGTTGAGGGCAGTTCAACCCCTCATTACAAAGACTGCACAATGAGAATCCAGAATGTATTTGAAGGTTTTATCCTTGTTCAAAGAACTCCGGAAGAAAGCTAAAATAAAAGGACTTGTTGATTTTTGAACTCTGGAATGCAGAATTGCTTGACCAAGTGCAGTCCCATGTTATGACACGACAAAGAGGCTGCACTCTGCAGACAGGCATCACCTTTGCTGAACTCATCTGTCTAACCCGACGGTTGTTTATCATGTGTATGTCGCTTTTGAATTCCTGTTTCCTGACAGCATTAAGCTGCTCTAAGACAAGGTGAAGTGATGTAAAGGAACAGGAAACTTACAGACACGGACAAGTGATGGAAGTCTCCATCCCCAGGTTTGTCTGTACAAAGGTTGTGAAGGCTCAGACACAGAACTGCAGAGTGGCCCTGGTAGAAAGGCAAGTCCACAGGAAACGGGTTCTGTTCACTCATTAACAACTTAGTTTCCTTGAGGAAGGACTGAATATATTCCTCAAAACAGGTCACAGGTGTATTTTAACGCAGCAGTTCAACTTGACTGGACAGTGTCTGAGACTGCCTAGATTCAAACCAGGCTGACACCAGCTTACACAGCAGCTGCAATTACACCTGCTGTACAGACAAATCTCTCTTGTTTGTGGGTTCTCCTCCCATTCAATTTCATTTCCAGTTCCAACTACTCTCCCTTCTTTTCTAAGAGCTGTGGCCACAATCAGAACTCAACCATTCATTCCTCAGCTATTCTGCAGTCCTTCAAGCAATGTGCAAGGCAAGATAAAGGCACCAGCTACCAAACAGTAAAAGGCAGAAGTTGCGAGAATGAAGTAGTAGTAATAAATTCCACTAAGAGGAAATTAACTGCAGAAAATACAGGTAGCCTAAAGGAAGGAGGAATTATATTTCTCATTCCTTGAAGAACACAGCTACTCTGGGAGGGAAAGGATGGAAAAGGTGTTCATCAAAGTTCCTAATGAGAAGGCAAGATAAGCCACAGGAGTTTTACTCTGTACATTGGTACGAACAAGAAAAGAGGTGGTTTTCCATTCTGTTTTATTTCAATGCCTTTGCACGTATGAAATATACTTAAAATACTTTACATTAAAATTAGCAAATGGTTTGCTTCTAAAAATCACCACAATCTCCTTGTGAGTGCACAAACACATACCTTTGATGCCACTTTCCGACCTACAGCAAGCTGACTGAAGTGTTTGTGGTGTAATATCCTCCATTAGATCAAACATGTTAGAGAGGAGTTTCCTTTCCTCAATATCCACCCAGCTGATTCAGCTCAAGGTGGGAGATACAGCCTCTCACTCAAGCTCAAGGGCAATTGGTTTATTAAGTACCTCCCCAGTTACAGTTTAGAACCATGTAAGCAAACCAGCATTCAAACTCAGTTAAGAAACATTACTCCTGGTGTCCAAACTGTCTCACTATCTTTTCACTCTCTTTTTTCAGTTCCTCAATGTGAGCATTTAGGCACTCCATGACGTGCTGGGACCTCAGTTCTTCCTCTTCCAAGTACCGTGCAGCTATCAATCCAACTGAAGCTGTAGGCAGGGGGCACTAAAGGGAAACAAAGGGATATCAGGCATTCTTTCATTCCAAGTTTTAGGCAGAAACACTACAGCTCCACAAACCACGCAACAAAATACACTTCTAAAGGGCTCTTGTGTCATTTCAATCTTATTGGGCAGGCTAAGCACTCAGGTCTCATGCTTGTATTGTAGGTAAACGTCCCTCCCAACAGTCTCCAACCAACACTGAAAGCCTCCCAAGCCTTTGCCAAATCTGCTGGTGGTAAAACCAGTACCTCAGCACACAGAACTTTTCCATTCCAGTAGCCGCCCTCTCTAAGGTAGCGGGCAACTAGAGCTGAACAGAAATAAGCTCTCCATGTGCCTACACAACTGTTGCACTTCACAGGTGGAATCCTGACCCCAGAGGTATCAATAGGAATTGATTGTTTACTTGGAGAAACTGGAGTTTTGCTTCAATTACCAGTCCCTCCGCTTCAAATAATGAGAGGGAATGACACAGCATGTGCAATCATAGGATAACTCTAGAGAAGGTCACGCCAAAATACCAAGGCTTTTGTCCTGGGTTGTTAGTGTAGCCTTACACTTAAGGTCTACAGCTTGCTCTCCATCTTCATAAAAATTTCAGTGAGCAGTATCATCTCAGAATGTGGGTTCCAGGGAAGGGAAAGAACTGCCACACTAGACCAGCACTGGGAATATCTCTGCTTTCTTTTATATACCTCCTCTTCTTCCCTGAAATAACAGGTTCCTGGTACAATTCCACAGGGGAAGTACAGGCCAAACTCCCACCACAGCTCACTGAGCACCACTTCAGCTAGCAATGGTCAATAAACTACCCCAGATTCTTTCCTTTACAGTGAAGAACTATTCCTGCTACTCACATCACTTACCCAAAAGTTCTTAACTTATAAAGATAACATCATAAACTAGGCTCAATTTACAAGTTGATGAAGAGAAGCTTCCTGCATAAGGGCTGGCTGGTGAATTATAAAGTCACTAAGGGGCTGCTTTTCATTACAGAAAACTTGCCTCAGTGTTTTGACAAGAGAACATAATTGGTTATTTCCAAATGCTGGAGTCTCATGGTTTTCTGGTCTTTTATCAACACCAGGAACAAAGGGAAGCAGAAAAAAGGCTACAGGTAACAAGCAAATTTCTCCCACCCCACTATTGCCTACTGATGAGAATTCTCCTCTCTTAAAGAAACTGATTTAAAGACACTGAAGCCTGACCATGAGCAGGGAGTCCCATACAACACCAGGAGAAATATTTGCATTTCCTTAGAAACCTTGTTTCTGCATCTCAGAGCAGAAAGCAGCACATCAAGCCTTCAGAGCTTCTCTGACCCTGAAGTGGAACTGTTCACATCTCGGCTCCAACCCTGCAATCTGAAGAGTTTCCATTTAGAATATTACAGTTCCCCAAGCTCCCAACATTTGTTTTCTGGACATGCCCACAAGCTACTTCAGTCTCGAAACAATCAAGATCTATTCTTGGTAGTTAAACTTCATCAAGATCTACAAACCTGACAAGCCTCCACCTATCTGTGCATCAGCCTTAGAATCTCTTCTCTGGTCTCTCCACAAAACAAAAATAGCTGTTGTCACTGCTAACAACACACAACCAGAGGAGAAAATACTCCGAAGACTGCTAGAGGTAACACATCTGGAACAAGGACCAGTATACGGGATTCTCCCCTCCCAGAACTACTACAGCCCTGCCTGACCCAGGGTATGACAATTGCTTTCAGTGTCCCTCTTCCATTCCCCTCCCTGCTCAAGTCAGTCTACAGCCTGGTCACTACAGTGGGTATTGGGATATATCACAGAATCATTCAGGCTGGAAAAGACCTTTGAGATCAAGTCCAACCATCAACCCTACTCTACCACGTACATCCCTAAACCGTATCTCCAAGCACCACATCTAAACAACCTTTGAACACATTAAGGGATGGTGACTCGACCACCTCCCTGGGCAGCCTATTCCAATGTCTGACAACCCTTTCAGTGAAAACATTTTCATGGTCTTAAACACCAAAGGAAGAAGTGACTGGGTCCTAGTTTCCTGTATCTTGGGCAAGTGCTCCTGCAACTGAGCTGAGGTAAAAGGACAGAGAAGGTGCCAACATTGCTCCCTACTAAAAAAAGGTATGATCAGCAACTGGGAGAAGTAACAGCCTCCCCTTGGGCAGTGAAGCACCAATTTCAGGCTTCCCATCAGCTAGCATAAGTGGCTGTAAGTTCAGCGTGCTCACTACTGCAGTCCCATTCAGACGGGTCAAACTCACTCTGTGCATTACAGTGAACGCAGATGGGCAGCACCAGCTTTCAGATTCACCCACAAACTGCATGTTGAAATACTCAGCACTTTACATTCAGTCTGAGCCTCTACTACAGACCCAAGCCAAAAGCTGAAGCAGAATTCTGAAGCGACATAAGCAGGTCATGGTACATACTGATGTACAGCACCAGTACGGAGAGAACCATGAGCTTCTGGAATTAGCTTTGCAATTATACCAAACACAAAGCCCTTCCTCAGAGGGTTCTGAAGAATACACATGGCTCCCTTTGTCCAAGTATTAACCATACAGCAGTGCGTTTTCCTCCCCATTTAACATTTGATACATGCTCACAGAATCATACACACCATGCAGCCAGATCATACACTCAAAAATCTGGCTCCTTTTGCCAGATGAGAACCCAGCTATATCCTCAGCTGTTCAATAGCAACCAGCTTCCGTACAACTGCTTACCAAAGGCACAGATTCTCTCTGATGATCTGAGATGGACTGTTCAGATGCTTCATCCGCGAAATTTTTGTTTCCATCCAGCACAGGGACCAAAGAATCCATTCCCAGCAAGGCACCCAAAGCAAGTGACTCCATGCAGTTCTTCCTGCTGGTTTGGGTGGGTAGCTCACCCGTCTCAGGGGTCACAGTTCCTGTTTCAGCAGCCCCCCATCTCTGGGACTTGATGCGGAACCGTCCCATCAGGCTTCTGACATATTCTCTCTGCTTTTTCATCATGTTTGTGCTGTGCTTCCTGAGTTGTCCTAGAAGGCAGGTTTGAACACATAACCGTTTGTCCATTTGCCTCTTAGCAGCTGAACTTCAGCAAAACTTGCACATACAGGTTACTAATAGCCCTGGCAGTCCAAACTGGCCCTTGTTTCCATAGGACTTCCAGATGCACATCCAGTCTCTAGGGTTCTGCTATTGTAGATACCAAAACCTACAGTCTGCACATCCTAGTACTGCAAAAGAAAGGAGCACAGCCACCTGGGCCAAATCTAATCCCTTCACTGAAAAGATGCTGCTTCTCAAGCAAAGGAAAAGGCAGAGGCAGTCAAAAGACAGTCAAATGCTAGCTGGCTTTGCAGAACACAAACCAGCTGGGTCTAAAAGCTATCACACTACTTGAAGCATAAAAGCAAATTCCAAAACAGTCCTTGTGTTCTCCCGCACATATGATGTGCTGGAGATAGATGCTATACATAAAGCACATCAGTAAAAACCCACACATCCCCATGTGTTCTGTTCTCCTTTGTCGTAAGGAAGCAGCATCCTTGAGGTCATGCAACACTCACCTGTACTGCACACCCTTGGCCTCAGGCTCCTCATCTTGCATCTGCTGAGCAGTGCCCTTAGGATCATCCTGGCAGTCCTGCTGAGCGAGCTCCAGTTTTGCTCTGGCCTCTGCTAGATCCTTCCACAACTGCTGGTTCTCAGATTTTAATTTATTTAGCTCAACAGCATAGTCTTCACTGAGTGCTCTTAGGGTGACATCTTTTCCCTAATAGACAGAGAAGTTGAAACTACTGATTTGCAAGACAGCATAGTCAAACTCAGAGCAAAGACTGGCAAGTGAGTCCTTAAGGCATATCCTCTAATCTCAATTTCGACCAGCAAAGTTTTCAAGGCTTTTTTAAGAGCAAATCAATTCTATATGCCTGAATGTGTCTGTATCCAGACAAGCTGTGCTGATCTGCCTAGGAAATGAAGTCCCTCTCACCACTGGACGCTTCTGAAAACAGGAAGGTATAGACCAAGGATAGTTCAGATGTACCTGCCTCTGGCCTTGGGATAATGAGGAGGACTACATGACCTCAAGTTCTCCTACAGCTGTATATTCTAGAATTCCCTCTTATCTCAGCTAAGATGTAAGCATCTCAGCCAAAGCTGGGAATTCTCAGGTGGCACTCCCACAAACCGTCTCAGTCTGAGCAACAATCCAGGTATCAGAGTGGCAGGCTCTGCCAGATACCTCATACCCCTGTGGCTTAGCTGTTGGTGAGACGTAATCCCTGCCAGTGAGAAACTACCTTCCTTGTGATCTACCAGCAAAGCTGTTTGCAACAATACTTCCAGATCCCCTCACTCAAATTAGCAAAGGCCTATGACAATAATGATGAAAGGCTATGCATACGCCTCCCCATCAGGGATGACCCATAGCCCTTTAGAAACTTACAGTGGTAAAAGTGAATTTTTTCTTTTTGAAACTCTGAACAACTTGCTTCTTCCCATGTTCTCCTTACTAGACCAGATGGATATTATTTCCATTGTTTCTACTCCTTCTTTTTGCCAATTCTGTTAAATGTAGATGCTTAATTCATTCTCAACACTGCTGTATCTAAGGACTTCCCAAACATGCATTAGAAGAACATGGCCAAGTCCTGTGCCATCTGGCTGTGGGGCTTTTTTTTTAAAAAAAAACAAAAAACAAAAAACAAACAAACAAACAAACAAAACCAAAACCCAGGTTTCTTGCTTTGCACTTTGCTATCCAGCTTTTGGTAAGTCAGGCAGGCAAAAGCCCATCAGGCACTTCAAGCAGAAAGTAATGGGCCTTAGGTCATTTCAATCTCAAATCAGCCCTCCACAAAGCTTTTTTTTTTTCTCCATCTCACCAGCCACAAACTTCTGTTCAACACTTTCCCAAGAACCTGGCACATTTGACAATCACCCCAAACTACTATTAAGAGCTGAGTATTTCCTTCCCACAGATCTGACAGGATAAAAGCTCTAACGATATATTCTCACTGGGTTTCCAGCTGAATTCAATCCTTGCCCCCTGTGAGACATCCGTCCTGGTTTAGGTGAGGACAGAACTTGCAAACTATCCATTTCTTTCTTCACACAGACACTAAAATGAACCACCTTCAAGGCATTATTCCTACCAAGACTGCAGCTCTTCCATGCAGGCTCCTCTTCTCCCCTCTGGACAACGTGGCCTCACCTAGTCTCAAGAGTGCCACATCAGCAGGAGCCCCTTCAGTGCCCCTTCCCAGCACGTTGCCCCAAGGCATCCAGCTCATATTCCCAGACTGCAACCTGCCTGTGAAGTGCAAGGGACAGCCCTGCTGAATAGCTCCTCACCAGGAGGGGAATGTGCTCTCACCCCATAAATGGCAAGGACCAGAACAGTTACAGCTCTAAGACAGGCCAAAAGGACATCAAAGATTTAGAATCAGAGGTTTAAGGTAAACTGGCATAAAATGGAAGCACAACAAAATGTACTAAAAAAATGGGCCCCAAGAGGAAGAAACCGAGATGACTGCTCTGTTTCTGCAGTTCTCCTCACTATTCTCTGACTGAACAAGATGCTCAGTATTTCTGTGCTTTATTCCCTCACAAATCACCCCTTTTGATTGAGTTTTAAGTTCACTGAACTCTACCAAGCATTTCAAGAGGCCTGTGCAAAGACTATTACTGTTCCCAGGTAGAGGACAGGCAATGTTAGCCCCTCCCCATCTCTGGTCCCTAATGCATACCTCTAGCATACCACACTCCGTTTTTTCCAGCATCTCTGAGAGATGACGATTCTCCAGCCTCAAGGTTTCCAGCTGGACCAGAATTACCTGAGGAGACAGAGGCAAAGAAGAAGCTCAGAAAAAAGAACACACCCAACACAAGCCCACAACACTCTACAGGCATCTTCCACCCTCAATTCAAGCTCAAGTACAAAGCAATTTTTGGGCTGTTAGTTCTACAAGGACCCTATGGTGAAGACCATACAAATAACCATGCACAGTTATTTACTTTAGTTTTCAAACATGTCATCATCCAGGCCTAGTTAGCATGAGTGATCTCAAAGAATTCTGTGGGACTGTTAGGTTTGAAAAGAAGCAGCAAGACAGATTCATTGAACACCATAAATGAGAAGATTTCATCAAAAGGGTCTCAAAGTCTTTGTTTAAAGGCTGAAGAGAGAAGGAAACTATTAACAAAGCTAAGAACTAGGACAGTATTCCAAGCCTTCAGATCCCTTAAAGAGACAGCATAAGAGAGTCTTCTGCCTTTTTTACCCTGTGCTCCACCGCTTTCCTCTCTGCTCTTTCAATCTCTGTTCTCAGCCGTTGTTCTAGTTCTGATGTGGAGCCACTGGCAGATGCAATTGTGATGTCCCGCTGGTGTAACTCTTGTATCAACCTGAAGATTTCCCTTTTCATCCCTTCTAGCTCACTGCTGTGAGTTTGTTCAGCTTGAGAGAGCTGCTCTTTCAGCTGGAGGAAGATATGCACACACCACCCACGAGCTTTTAAAAGATGTTTCAGCAAAAAAGCAAAAGTATTGCACATGGTAATGTGAAATCTAAGTACTGGAAAACAAAAAGCTCTACATAACAAGCCCTATGTACATACTTGTCCTTCTTGATTGAAAACCACCTTATCCCAATCCTTTTCCACACCATAAACTGCCAACCGAGACAAGATAAAAGTCACATGCTGTGGAGTATCCGAGAAGACCCATAATCGATCAAACCACAGTCTCTTTAGCTCACCACTCAACCTCCATGGCCAACAACAGATACGCAAAGGTTTACCATCACTGGGCAAGCACAGTAACACTTTCATAATATAACCTTGCAATTTGCCATTTGACCTTCCTGAGGCAGAGATGGTATCTTTAAATAGCTCTAGCCAAACTTTTCTTCCATGAATTTGTCCTAAGTCTTTTGAATTGATATTAGCTGGTAACAACTAAAGCTACCCATGGCAAACTTCCACAAGCTAGCAATGCACAGGGTAAAAATACACCTCTGTTTTCCTAACTCCATTTGACGGCCACTAGTCACTGCATTATGAGAGAATAATGATTCCCTATTTACTTTCCACATGACAGGCATGATTTTATTTTTAGCACATTCAAAACTATTTATCTCTTTTCCAGTTTGGAAAGTGCTATTCCATTCAGCTGTTCCTTGTATAAAAAGCACTCCATCCTTTTGGTCATCTTTTTCCATACCTTATCTTGTTTTATTCAATCCTTTTTGAGATGGCAGACCTGCACTGCATACAATATTAAGCACACCATATATTTATTCAGTGACACAATAGAACAACATAGCATGATTTCTTCCCTAGTATTCCATTCTATTAGCCAGAAATATTAACCACTCAAACCTCCAGGATTTTTCAGAGAATTACAAGCATTTTAGAAAACTGAACCAGATGATCTCTGCCTAGCCATGTAAATACTATGCATATGGTGATTTATCTCCATGTCACCTCAATGCCTCCCAAGTATATAAAATGGAAACAATCATAATAAATCTCTCTTTCCTCCCCAGCAGCCTGTTGGAGATTCATTTATTGTGTGGCTGTTTAAACGTGAAGCCAAGCACGCGTCTCCGCAAGATCTGCACCGTTGTACATTCAGAATAAAGAATGAAAGATTTTCACAAAAGTGAAGTTTTTCACTCAAGTCCAATAAGATTTCTACTCTAACCAGGCTCCAGTGAAAGCTCTCACACTAACTGATCTAGACCAGTATTAGAAGTCAAGCCTTTTAAAAGGCTTGTCTCCCTTGGGTGCACAGAGCACCAGGGTGAGGTTCCTCGTGGCCAATGAGCTGCTCCATTTCTTCCAGCCCAAGTTCATGTCTACGTATCAAGCCTGAAGCAAACTCCCTTATTCACACATGGACTAGAACACATTCAAAGGCCTGTTTCAAGTGTGACAGCACATTCTATAGCAAAATTCACTCCCTCCCTGTTCTTCATCATGTTGGGAACCTGTATTAGGCTTAAACTCAGGACTCCAGGCCTTAATTTCTTTGCATATTTGTCCCTCCAGCACTATTTCAAGTATCTCCATCCACACTGTAGAGAAGTACTTCATGATGCAGGGGTAGGCCTAAGAGATGCTCACAAAACCAGCTGCACAGCCACGTACAGGAACTTGCAAACCCATCCTGTCACGCCTCCTTTGCCAGATCTGCTCCTTACCTTTCAGCAGATCATTGCCTGGCCTTTGGTCCCATTTGGAGCTTTGCTAACTGTGCACTGCTGAGGCACATGACACACATGGGAACAGCTGATTCCACAAGGGCCCTTTCCACTCTCCAGGAACAAAGCAGCGTTACCTTTTTAATCTCTGCCTTTGACTCAGTATAGCATTCTTCCATTGACTGCAGCTCTTTGATACTTTCATCCAGCTCTTCACTCAGCTGTACACACCTTGCATTTACAAATGTAAAACTACAGATTAGAATACCCCAAGGAGGAGGACATGGTCAGAGAAACTTTGATCTTCCAAGCAGTCTCCTATGTCTGTCATAACACTAGAAGTTCCTCACCAAACCTTTGGTTTCGTTTACCAAAATCATTTCAAAAGAGATCAGGAAGCTGATCTAACAGATAATAACTGTTTCTTGTTTTTTCGTTACCGTACTAAGATTACAAACTTCCCATGCAAACATTAGTCTGGAAACCACAAACTCAGAGTGGAAGACTTGTTTATAATTCTTATTTCACAGGAAGGTCTAGATCTCGTTCTTACCAGGTGACAAACAAAGACTCCTTATTATGAATGAAGGTGCTAAGCCTAAGCAAGCTAAAACACTGAAAACACCCACAGTGTGCAGTGAAAAGCAAGCAACCAATTAGCAAAACAGTCTCGCTATTAAACAGCAAAATGAATAGCTTTTTATTTCTTCAGCCCTTTGATATTTAAAATAAGCCTAAAAAAAAAAATCAGTGGGACTGGTTAACTTGATGAATATGATATATTAGGTATTATATTATTATGCAAGTTTCATTGCACATCCAGGGGAAGCAAGCAGTCGGCTACCTGTTCTCAAGATGGGTAACCTCTGACTGTAAGTACTGTTCCTTCTTCTGGGCAACATCCAGCTGCAGTAGCATATGCTCCAGCTCCAGCCCCGGAGAAGACAATTGTTTCTCTTGCTGGCATTCTTCCAAGGCCCTAAGCAGAAACACGAACTTTAATCTCAGCACAGAAACTTCATGTCTGAGTTGGTTAATACAGGGAACATAACCACCATTTCCTTGGAATTCTCTGAAAAATATACAAAACCCAACAGTAGGAGATACCTGTGTGCATTCTGAATAAGCAAACATACCAGCTGAATGACAGCCCCCTGTTGGAGTTCAGGCCGATTAAAACAATTACATCCTATTTTGATGTCGGCCTCCCTGATCCAGACAGTCTCCTTGTCACTAGCTGACATCCAGCTTGCAAGAAACAGTGTGGCTGTTAGGTAACGTACACTGAAACTTTTTGATATGGCCATCAGAACCCTATAGCTTTTGCATGTTGCTGCAGAAGGGGAAGGCGAAGTTGATTCTGTGACATACATAGTTACCAAAACCCTAATCTGACATCATTAAATCAGTGAGAACTTTCACCTCTGTTAATAAGCACATTATCAATCCTGAAAGGCCTCCAGCACTTGACTGAAAATGCCTGGGAAAAAAAACCAAAAAAACCAAAAAACAACAAACAAACCAAAACAAAACTCAAAAACCCTGTGCTGCCTCCAGAAACCTAGCTGAGTGGACAGCTGATTCCTTCCACACTCCTCACTAAGCATCAGCTGATTTCAAAAGCAACGCAATTTGGCAAATGCTGCAAAGAAGCACAGTACTTGTGAGAAACTATAGCGTACCATTCTATGTATCAACCAATACAGATCCAGCTGTATAAAAATGCTTCTACCGTCCTCAGTGGGAGAATCTGGAAGATTTGGATTCAAGAGCATAAGTACCAGTGAGGTATGCATGCTACCTGATGAGGACTTCTTTGGTGCGAAGAGTTTCAGTCACCCTGGCCAGCTGTTTCTGTAACTGTTCGTGGTGCAGCTTGGAGCTGTCGATGAAATCTTCCTGAGACCGCAAGGTGGCTCGAAGTTCCATCTTCTCATCCCGTAGCACCTGCACAGGAGGAAGAAAGAATGACTGTTGCAAGATGGACCAAATCAGTTCGCTGTAATGCAATGAGAGGTCCATCAGATTTTTAAGGAACCCTTGGAAATACTGCAGAGCACCACATGGGTACAAAGCCAGCTCTGATGCCAAACAGGAACTTTACAAAGGCCCTAGAAAGAGACGGGAGCTCTGGGATGAAAAGCCTTCCTGCTACTTCTTACAAGCACTGCTTTACATTCAGTTTCCTAACAGTTCATCCACGTACCTCTAACATTTTCTTGGATTGCCTTAATTCTTCTTGAACTCTTTGCTGATCTTCCAGAATCATCTGATTGTGTTTAGTCAGGTCATCGACTGTCATGTTAAGCCTCTCCACCTCCATCTCCTTGGCACAGATAGCAGCATTGGCCCTCTCCAGCTTGCTCGTTAAATGCTGGATTTCCGATCGGCTGGCCAGCTCCACCGACTCCAGAATCTGCTTCCGATTTGCAAGCTGAGTCTGCTAAGAGCAACTGGTTTGCATTAAAGCCAAATTATAGAAAACACAGCATACCAAAACTACATTCAAAACAACTACTGATAACAAGCCACATTCTCAAAGTAAGCAACACTATCTTTCAGGGAATTAGGGAAATTACTGTTCCAGGGTTACATGATGGGTAAAGCTTCTGAAGACAAACTGAATAAAAAAAAAACCAACAAAAAACAAACAAACAAAAAACCCACACACCACAACACAAGGGGGCCCTATGATTCCAAAAAGGCTTCAAAATAGAATCTGGGAAAAGAGGATCTCAAATCACTCAAGTTGTCAGAGTTTGAACTGTCTAAGAATAAAGCTGCCTACTATTTTTTGCTCATTAACCTAAGGCTAGACCAGGAGAAACAGCAGCATGTAAGGTTTGTAAATACCATAGACAAGCTAGAGATTGTCCTGCTGTTAATTCCACACCAGGATAGAAAGTAGCTCTTGGTGCACAATGAAAAAAAAACACAACCACCAAACAGATCAAAAACTGAACTGGGTGTAACCGCCAATTATGTTTTACTTTATGCAGTAAATATCTGGTTCTAACAGCTTGTGAGAATGCTCACTTTGAATGTTTCATTGTTTTAATGGCAGACAAAAAAAGTTATAAGGAACATATGACTAGCAAACAATGCATCCTCTATTATTTATAGGCACAATACTTTATTTCATAGCATTTCTTTCCACATAGCTAGCTGGTGAAATTTAACAAGCCAGCTCTCATGTAACCTTCTAAGAATACTCACTTTATATATTCCCTTTTTGTATAGTACCTTAGAATTTTTAAAGGCTGAAACAAAATATTTGAGTAGTCTTTTACTCCTGGTTTCTAAGAGTAGCAATTCCTGCCAGCTTCAGAATCACTGCATGCCTTGATTTATTGCCTGACATATAATGCCTCATAACTGAGAAAACTATAGGAACTGCGCATTTGGAAGACTATGGTGTAATTTTGATTACAGCCTTCTCATTATTTGAATAGTCACGACAGAAAATGTAATCAGGAAGGGCAAGAGTTTAAAGTACAGCCTCTCTCCACTCAAGAAACCGGAGTACCAGACTACCTGAATATTTATTTCTGCATTAAGAAAACATTTAAGCTATCTCTTATTTCCAGCCACAGAACATGCAGGACAGCACAGAATTCCAGGTTTCACCTGTTGACTTTAAAGGCTGCAAGTGTTACAGGAACATGCTCATCACTGGGTAAGAAAGCCCAGCTTCCCTAAGCTGCACTGAAAGATATGAGGGGAGGCCAGCTGAAAGAAGAGAAAGGGCAAGTACTCCATGGTCACAGATCTCAGCTTCACCTTGTGACAGAAAAACAACCAAGCATACAAAATGTGTAGAAATATCCAAGGCAAAAATTTAGCACTTTCATGCTGGGCTTTTCAAAGAAATTGAGGATTCAAGCAGGCTGTTAACAGTACCTATGCACCCAAGCCATCTTGCACACTGCTTAGTAAAAATCTCCCTGAATTCCTGCTTTTCTGCTGCGCAGTAAGAAGAGTTCCTCTGCGCTCCTGTATACCAGCCTGCACTCCAAGGACACATCTGTTCTCAGACAATTGAGCTATCAACGATACAAAGACAGCAGAGCAGCAAGACCTTCTGCTCAATGACTCTCTCTGCATTTGTAGATCTACTAGTGTCAGCCTCTCACAAAGGCCCTGTCAGAGCCAGCTTCCATCCTGTCATCACAAACTTCCTCCTTGCAGGAGCTTCTACTCAAGAGCAACTCAGGAGCCTATTAAGTATAAAACACCCAGCAAGAGCTTCTTATCAGTGTCTGCTGTGATTGTGTCAGTGTGACTTCACAGCTGTACTCTAGGTCAATTCATCTTGCTCTGCTGCAGCACCACTAACTCACTGAATGATTAGCTTTTCAGGAACAGCAGCCCCACTACTTCTTGCCTTTGAGACTTTTAAAAAAAAAAAAAATAAGGTGGGGGTGGCATTGAAAACTGCTGTTACTTCAGTACCTTGCAGAAGTAATCTGTCATAGGGGAAGACTTTTCCAACATCATCCCCTGAGCCGGACCCACAAGGTAACATACTTAACTACTGGCAGGTACACAGCTTTGAACTAGATGACATGATGTAGCAGCTATTTTAAAGTGTGATATGCTGTGGTCTCTGCCTCTCAGGGAAAACTTCATCCTACTGTCTTCTCTACTAATTGGAGGAGTGGCAGAGAGAGCTGCACAACATTTATCTAACCTCTGTTGACAGACTCCAGATCTTTTTTCCATACAGCACTCATACAAGTAAACCTTATTCCACTGGGACATTAAAAGTCATTTCAACGGCAATCTAAACTGGATTCAAGCCTGAGAGATTTCATTAGTCTCTCCCTCTCCCCCTCTCCCTCCCCTCCCACCTGCTGCCACAAACAAAACAAAAACTTTCAGCACATATTAGTTGTACCTGAATGAGCTCAGACTGCTCAGCCAAAGCCTTCCTCTGTGCTTCCAGTGATGCCACCTGCTGCTGGTAAAGCAAGCGCTGTTTCTCCCAGTCAAGTGATTTTTGACGGAACTCCTGCAAGGACAGCAGGGGTGGCTTGGAGCAGTAGGTCCATGCAGTTCACAAGGCCCCCTTCTAGTTCATATCCACGTTTGCTTTCTCTCTCTGCCACGTCCTCATGCACCTTTCCCCACAGCAGGGAAACCATTAGCCAGTCATTTGATGCACCAACTCAGCAGTATAAAACCCCTCACATACTGTGCTTGCTGTATTTCTTTCCCTCCTGAGTTAAAACGTCAGTGTCAATTATTGCTGTTTACAAATGTTAAGTACTAACAGATTCATGGCTAGTTTCACGGATTTGCTGTCAGAGGTTTAGCAATTCAGACAGGCTTTAGCTTCCAAAACATGCTGCTATTGAAATCACTAAGATGACAAGTATGAACTACAAAATTTTAATGCTAATCTCTGCTCCAGAAATTGGACGCTACATCAGTCAGATGCGTGCATCAGCCCCATCTTCAGGGTACAGCAGAAGAAAATTGAGCACGGTTGAGCTCAGTATAGCAGAAAGAATAAAAGACACAACAGGGTTGAGAAGAAGTTTGACACGTAGCTCCCTCCTCCTCAAAGAAGTGAGATGACAACTTCATCACACTGCAATTCATTACGTTAATTACTCTTCCAGCACCTTCTTCCTCTTATTTAGTCTAAGAACAGCAGCATAGTTTATCCTGTGTACTCAGAGGCCCCAAAGCAGGAAACCACCTTTATTACACAAGTAGTTGAGAAGAGCTACACCTGGAGAGTAGATGGAGAGTCCTCTTTAAGCAGGATTTCTAGTCCGCTTCCTAGTTGATTATTCAGTCACCGCAGAACCCAGAGAGTCAGTTAATACATACAAACTCTGGTTAGCACTTGCTTTTTCACTACATACCTCCAGCTTACTAGTCAGTCGGCTCATTTCAAAGTGGTCCTCCCCTTGTTTCTTGTTAGCTTCTCCTCTAGGTTCTCTTGGTTGTTTCTTCTGCAGCTTCTCATAGCTCCTCCTCAGCCTCGACAACTGCAAGGAATACAGTGAAAAAGAAAACTCTGTTCAAGGCCCCAAGGCAAGAATTAAACAGCCCTTTGAAAGAAGGCACACAAAATGGCTTCACACAAACGACTGCCCTAATCAAGGCCACACAGCTTGCAAGCAAAGACTTCTATTTGTGTAATGAGCCTGTTATACCAACAGGATTGCAAAATATGCCAAGTTGTATCAGAGTAGCAAGATGTCACTGAAGTCATGATTAATTAGCAGCTTTAATTAGACCTCTCTTACCACTGTTAAAACATGACTAAAATATTGATAAGATAGAGGTTTACATGTAGGTGTCAATACAGCAAGTGCATGGTATCCCTCTCTATACTGGTGGCTCCCAGCCACAGTAACAGCAGGCAGTACCTGTGGTTGATCTCCTCATACAGAGGGGCACATCACACCGCACACGGGGTGGGGGGTAGTTCTACAAAGAGGCACAATTTCTTATGTGATTAAAATACACTTGTGAAGCTCAGGTGGGAACTGGAACTCTTCCGCTTAGTGGGAGAAGGAAGATTTGAGAATTGCCATTATACATAATATCAACACTACTTCATCTGTCATTTTGTGCTTAGATACACTATGTATTTCACGAGTTGAGAATGCCAACAGAAAATATCACTCCTACGCCTACTGCTAGAATGCTGAAGTCGTATCAGAAGCAGAAATGAGGAAAAAATTCTTGACATTTAAATGACCCTCTGTGCAAACAAACTCTTGCAACTTGCACAGAATTCTCCATCTCATGAGCTCCCCTCAACTCAACTATTAAATAAAGTTTCCAAGCAGCCATATGAATTTGAGAATTCATCATTCCCACTTCACTGCTGGAGAAAGCTAAGCCCATGGATGAACAGAAGGACTGTGAGAAGAAAAAATGTCTGAAACAAGATCTCATGCACTGGTCACAAAAGGTTCTCCAGAGCCCTGAGTCTGCAAAGTGCTCAGGCACATTCAATGGGAACGGACAGACGTACAGGCTTATATACCTGTACCATATACCAACATCTTTTGCCAAACATGGCAGAAGATTACAGGTACAGGTTTATTCTTTCAACAGTCTCAGTGAGTTAGACACTGTAATATTACTGGTAATGGCAGTAAACTGAGACAGAACCAATTTCCCCAAACAGTACTAAGAAGAGAAGATTGAGGAATACTGGAGCTTAACATCATCTACATTAATACTGCGCGGGTAAAATACCAACACATTGCAATTTTAGCCTTAGCAATTTAGGCAGATCTGCAAATGCACCTCCAGCTTTGCTTTGCAGCTTATCCACAATTCCAGTGGGAACATCTAGTGAATGAAGACTCTTAGTCATATTGAAGAGTAAGGTGTTTTAAATGAGGACAGATGCCTTCTGTCATCAAAGTAGAAACTACCAAATTAAATTAATTTATGGCTTACACTGAGCACGAACTAGGCCCAACCCTCCAGAGAAAACAGGTTAATGCTCTACTAGCTGTTCAGGCCATTTAACTCACTGCTACTGACAAGCAAGTGGAGACAAGCAGAGTTAAGGCACAAACATGGAATGCTGTTGTACCACCTGCAGGACATTCCACATGTATCACCCTGCAATAAGAAGCTTTTTGAGATAAAAGCTCCGAAATTGTTTTCAAAAAATATCTTCTAAGTATACTTAGTTTTTACTAAGTGTATTAAGACTAATAGGCCTTGAGAGAACAAAATCCTTATCAACAAAATCAGAGTCAATGGAGGCAAAAAACATGAAAGTACATACCATTCTCATCTCTTGATCTCATACAACCCAGGCCAGTTACACCACCACCCTTTCCTAATTTCACAAAATGCTGAAAGACCAAACTGCTGCTGCCTGTACCCATAGCAATTTCAGAATAAGCACTATGATGACTAGGATGGGCAACCTCAGGACATTTTTGCAGTAAACTTCTGCAGATTTCTAACACATGAAAACTGCAACAATACATCTACTACGCATTTCTACTCCAACAGTTTTCTGCTCGTCACCAAGTTCCTCCGAAGTGCAAAAAACAGGCCTAATGAAGCAAAAAGTATTTTTCAATGACAGCTCAATGCTCTTTTTTGTAAGAACATAAACTTATTAAAAGAATGGGAAGTTTTGAAATCACGGCATTTAAACAAAAGCAATGATGCAAAGTATTTCACCTACCAGATCACAGACTGGTAACTAAAAACCAATCTGCTCTTTTTGCAACTCACCTCCTCTTGAAATTTCTTCAGCTGTTGTTCATATTCTCTAACCATGTCCTGTTTGGCTTTTTCTATGTCTTCTACCTGGTGACGCAATGTGGCAACCTGAATGAAGAGTTAAAAAGCAAATAAATAAAACAATAGAAGTGGACCTTATTGTCAAGTAGCTACTATGATTAGTTTTCATTTCATAAATACACATTATAGTAGGAGTGGTAAATGACTCTTAAAAGATCCTAATTCTGTTAACAACTACACATTTGATGGGATCACTCTCCAGAAAGCAGATCAAGTCTATGCCTAAATCTTTGGTAGGCTGGGGCCAGAACTGTTTGTTCTGGCCTTTTTTTTTGACTCAGTTTCTGGCTTTCACTTTTGGGGATGAAGCTGACAGTTTGGGCTCTTGCTAAAAGGCTATTTCCATCTGGTATTTGCATCAAATTCTCTATAAACACGCATTATGATTACAAGCTACCTACCAAGAGAAAAGATGGCCATGTCACTACCTTACTACACTCCGATGAAGCAGAGATTCCAAATAATGCATGGAGATGAGAAGGACAAAGAAAGACATAGGGCTTTGAAACTCATGGGTAAGGCTTCCCTTACACTGATCCAACTGCTCCTGTGACTCATTTTCGTCTTTTTTTTTTTTAATCTTTTTCCCATCCAACCCAGAGTACCCACCTTTCTAACTGCAGGTCCAAAGGACAGCAAGCCAACAAATTAAAATTAAAAGAAATCACCACAGAAAATTCATATAAGTAAATCAAAAGCATGAATATACTCCAGTAGTGACTTTAACCATAGTTTACAGTTCAATTTTGAAATCAATTGGTGGCTTTTGGTGGGAAGCATTATTTCAAAAGTGTCTTGAGAAAACACAATTGATAATAATAATGATAACCTATATGATAAAAATCACCACTCTTACTAATGAAAATCCTGTGGCATGACTCCAGATTTAATAACTCTATAATAAAGACTTTCATTCCAAAATCTGCCATGCAGACCAGTAGAAGTGCTTGACCATATTAACACAAAACTACAGAGGTCTTAACCCACTGTTGCTACAGCCTGCCTCTTTGTTTTACTAGATTCCACACCAAACTACTAAAAGCTATAGCAGTACTTGGGTAATTCTGCGGATGTAGTGTAGTTGTACAGGCACCCAAAAAACCCAACTGCTTCTGCAGTCATCAGCTGGCTTTCGACCTAAGTCAAAGCGACTTCAACAGAGAGCTGCCAAAACATGGTTTGTAGCAAAGAGTCCATCAAAACAGAAGACAGGGCAGCTATAAGCATAAGGACAAATTTTAAACACTTTCAGAAAATGTCAGTGTGGCTAGATCTTAAGGTATAGCCACCCAGACTCCTGCTGGTTTCCTCTGATCCAAGAAAAGATACATCAGTTCATTTGCATAAGAGAAAGCCTATAGTCCACCTCCTGTGCAAAAACTTCACTTAACTGATACTTCTCTACCGATTCAGAAATTTTTCGCACTTCACCCAGGCCTTTAATTAAAAGCTACAAAACCTGAGCTGCACAAAATGGCCCTTGCAGAATCTCCCAGCAATATCTTGGTGGTGTTTACACCACCAAACATTTTTTCTGCCAAGGACTGCAGGTTGCTAGGCTGTCAGTTACTGTTGTCTCAAGATTCACTGTCTCCGGATTCTCTCTAGAAACTCTAACAATTCATCTGTGGACTTCCACCAACCCTTAGGGAGTTGATCTTTGTTGATTTTGGTTGAATTACAATTTGGACACCCTGTTCCAACAGGCTCCTTTGTAAATTCTGTTCCTGATTTCCAACTATAAGACAGGCTCCTGTTTAGCTTAGTACAGCTATCTGCTAAAGTTAACCCCTTGTTCTGGCTTAGCATTTAAATATCAAAAAAAAAAAAAATTTAAACTGATGAAACAATACCCGAAACATATGTCCATGCGAAGTCAAATCCTGAAATCCAGGTTCAGTCTTTATGTTGTATTGTAACAGGTAAAATACACAATTTGACAGCAATCAGAAAACAGTAGGAACCTGAGGTACCTCCTCATATTTTTCCTGCAAAGCAGCCCTGGCAGAGGAAAGTTCCTTCTCTCGAACACTCAGGCAAGCTTCCAAAGCCTGTGTCTGTCCTTCCCATTCAGATTTCTTGTGAGCCACCATAATGTCTATCTGCTTCATCAGCTCCTGCAGCTCAGCCTCACAGGAAGTCAAGAACCCACCGCTGCAAGATAAAGAGCATGAAGTTACAAAGCAGGCACCACCCAATACAGGTCCAGTGTCCCCTACCAACAAAGTCGGCAGAACAAACTAATCTGCACCAAGGGACCAACTCTGCACATGCAGTGCTTTGAACTCTATGCAAATTAGCTTGCAGAGAAATAGACTTAATGCTTATGCGCTGATCCCATTCTCTAATGCAGCATCTCACAAGTGGCACGTTCGTATCACTGGGCAGAGATCTAAATTTGGCAATGACCAACAAACAATACTTGTGAAATCCCAGTGAGAACAAATGACCTACACACTTCAAATGTAGAGGGTTTGTCTTCTATACAGAGAACTGTTACAAGCACCTAAAAACACTTAGCACTTTGTCTCAGTACTGTGCATTATCTAAGTAAACTGGAGCATGTTTTACCCATATTTTGTATTTGTCTTAATTGCTCTCCAGGCAGAGGCATTTTAAACCAAGTTTCAGTCACCAGAGAAATCTTACAGCCAAGCTATCAGCTCCTGAAAACAGAAGTTTATCACAAATGCAGCCAAACCCCTAAGTGGAGGGGGCTGGATGACAACATGATAATGAAGAATAAAACATTCGCAATCCATTGGGGAGAGCATGTTCCCCAGCGACGCTGCAATTTCTAATTTGGTGCAGTAATTACTGAAGCCAATTCAACTAACTCCTTTAAAACTTCACAAGCTGCTAAGCCAGGGACAATACTAAGGCTTGCAAGGTACAGCCCTACAGGGCGGTGAACTCCATGAGGATCTTTACCCCTTTAATTTGCCTGTCAAACAGGACGCACTGAAAAGAAATGGAAATCAGTAAGTTAAGGGTTTGAAATTTCTCTGTTCCCCCAGGGCATATGCACACTTCACAACTTGGCAGTTTTTCTATAAGGAAAGAAATACTTCTTAAAGGAGCCAAAACAGTTAAATTTGAAGTTCACCCTGGCCTGTGAGTTAACAAAAAATTAGCAGCTATGATGCAGAGCAAGAACATTTCCTTCACAGCATCTGCTAATATAAAGCTAAGTCTAAACTTGATTTCTGCAATCAGTTCTCTGTAGAAGATTCAAGTTTACTGATACTATATCACATTGTCAAAGATGACTATGAAAATGGCATCAGTGACTTTTGCTTCATGCTTGTTTAACACATAAAACATTTTTTTCCGTTATTGGCACTACAGTCTCTCTCAGAAATCCAAAAGTCTACTTTCACCTAAGACAGAGCATTGCAGACTCTTCAGAGATGAATGGGACTCTGCAGTTTCAACACAAGTAGGAAATAATTAGATGTTTTCAATAAAAACTGACAACAAAGTCACGTCTCATTAACCTTGCAATGCTGTTAGAAAAAAAAATTATTCACACCTTTAATTACTACTGTTTCTGATGTTAGACAGTTAAGGGTTTACAACAACAACAAGAAAAAGAGGTTTTTCAGGAAGACGTAAAACTAAATTTCTAACAATTAAGACTGTAGTATCTGACAAGGGATTATGGCAAAGCCAGCTCACCCAGCGACTTTGCTTCTGCACCAGCTGAAGACCACTGCACACTGCATTTGTCCACCAGCACACACTAGTGGACAAACTCCAAAGCCCTTATTTAAGCAACAGAAGCTTTGTCTGATACCAGAGGATTTGATTCTGAATAAGAGGGAAGTTTAATACTTAAATGATTTTGAATGACAGGTGTATACTGTTGCATACATACCTCCCCTGCCCATCTCTTTGCATTCCTTCCAGCAAAGCCTCCATCAGCAAATCCTGGTGGCTTCAGCAGCTAGGAAAGTACTCAACAGCAGCGGTTGCCCATGGCAGTGTACGAATGAGGCTACTCCTCCACCCAACTGCAGAACAAGCAGAAGTTCACAGAGGAAAGAAGTTTAAAAAAAAATTACAATTAGCACACAATTATAGGTAAGAAAAACAACAGTCACCTTCATGAACTTCCCAGCCAAACGCCTGCCAAATAAATGAAAAGTTTTTTCTACCAAAAACAACAACAACAACAAAAAAAGATAAAAAGACCAAATGCAACCATGCACCACTATCAAATTGTAGTGATATAATCATGTGATCTAAGAAATGGAATAACTCAAACAACAGCAGCGAAAGTGAATCTGTACTTCAACAAATGGGCACACTTAACACACCGGGAATGGCACATCTCCCATCTCCTGGGTGCACCAAACTGCGGAGGATCAGCAGCACTCGGAGAGTTCCAAACGGGGCAGTCCAAGATCCACCCCTGGGCTATGGGGGTATTTGTCACTTCAGAGAAAAACCATAAGCACCCTGTAGCCAGCAGCAGCAAGAATCTATCCTTAAATTAGATCTCTCCCAGGTCTCTATCACAGACTAGGTTAAAGAGGCCACACAGTTTACAATCACATTCAGGATACATTGCTAGTTCATATGGTTGTGAGAATTTTCCCCTAAGTTGACACTAACTGTTCAAAAATTCCTCTGGTGCCTTAAGCTACAAAAATAAGTTGCACAGGTTTACAGTAGCAGTACTTTGTCTTAGTTAAAAAGGACATCCTTTAAGTTATGAACACATGTATGTATGCACACGCACAGAAGTTTCATGTATTTGTGACGCCAGAAAGATTTATGTTAAAGGCAAAAGTGAGGAATAAAAAAAAAAAAAAAAAAAAAAGGAAAGTTACCATGGAACCACACCCAGAAAGCTAGAATTTATTTCAGTGGCTCCTCCATGAAACTATGGCTCTCTAACAGAAAAATGGTTGAACTCACCCTGAGGATATAAAACTACACTTCAGTTTCACTTTGTGGAGCTATTCATACAGTTTTGTGTTTCCAAAACATCTAAGCACTTTCTCAAGTATTTAGAGATGGCTCCTCACAACATCTTTCCTCAAAAATTAATATGGCATTCATAAGCAATCAACAAGAGGGGGAGCAGGTCCCAGAAAGCGAGACTTTCAGAAACAGCCTCAGCTTTGCTCTCTTTCACTTCCATCAGAGCTTCTATCCTGCTCCTACAGCATTTGAAAACACCATCCAGAGATTAAAGCTTGTCTCCGTATTTTAAACCACACACATACAGAAAATGCATATTTCACTGAGGAAAAAAAATAAAATCCTACTCTTATTCTGACACAGTGTTTTGTCTCTCTTTGGCCCTGTCCATGCTTAACAAAATTCAACCAGTATGCAGAACATCTGTGTGGTACTGCTGATGGCAGAGCTGCTAAAGAGAGCAAGTGAGCAGATCCCCAGAGCTGCTGACAGCACTCCAAGAGAGTTCTCCAGGTGGCAACAGCAGACATTAGCCAGTAGCAGCCCTTCTGTTTCATTCTAATCACACCTACACATAATTGATTTTCAGTGGGTAGCAGAGAGATTTCATTGTCCACCACAGAGAACATCTGCTAAAATTCAAAAAGAAAATCCAGAGAGCAATCCAGATCCTGTATCAGCAGCTGCTTCCATGAGAGGTTGGGATCAGTTCCACACTGAAAGCTCTAGTGCCACAAGGAGCCAGACAGCATCTACTCTTGCTTCTGTCAGGCTTTAAGCAGGGCCCCCAAGGTAAGACATCTGAATCTGACAGCTTTGTCTACCTGCCAGCTTACCTTGGTTTGGGAGAAGAGCCTTAAAATCAGAAACCTCTAGCCAGTTTTATGCTACATCAGGTTTGTTGATTCAGTACTATATTTTGACCTCTCAAACTTGCAAGTCACAATGCGTGAGTTACAGGCAACTGAGTAAAGACCCACAGAGATACCACATGAGGAAACAATTTCTGCCATTAACTACAGCTGAAGCAGCGAGAGCTGGCCTGTCACTTTTGAAACTGAAGAACAAGGAAGTATTTGTGAGAAAAAGAGATAAAATATTTAAAAATCAACAAGGTTTAGCATCCCAACTCAAGAAAGAATTGTAGCAGTACAGTCAAGTGAGAGAAAATCTGACAACACACAGTAGGACCTAATACTGCCTGTGAGAAAAGACTGGGATTATTTTGCCTTTAAAAAACACACTAGAACGCAATTTTAAAGTGTTGCTGGAAGTAAGCTCAAAATTAACAGACAGCCACGACCCACGTTGCAGCAAGAACTTCCCGAAGTACCCATGAACACGTGCTGAGCCTGCCAGCCGCTGGAAATGCCACCTCCGGCTGATCCAAGGCCAGGCAGAGCCCCGTGGGAACAACCTCGACGCAGCTGCTGCCTCGCCGGGGCAAGCAGTGACCTGGGACAGCGTCCCCTCAGCACTGCTCACCGCAAAGCCACCAGGCCTCTCCGGAAGAGCCCACCGGAAGACGCCACCTCATCCTACTGTGTTTCAATTTCTTCCCAAAGGCAGCCTCGACGCTGAACGGCCACTTGCGATGGTCACACACATTCCCCTCGCAGGCCGAGGTGCTGCCCGAGGCCCTCCCAGCCCCACTCCCCGGGGAGAAGCCCCCATTCCCGTGCCGACCTGCCCTCCGGGTCCCCGCGCCGCCCCGGCCC